ACGAGGCTGCCCCGGGCCAACGCAATAGCCAGGGAGAGCAACGTTCAATACCAGTAAAGGAGATCAAATCTACGAAGAAGTGCCGTCCGCCGTCGCCGCAGGAATCGCCGCCGGAACCAGCTCCGAACGGGAACCAGGCGCCGAGCCATCCGGCTCCCGGCGGGCCGGGTCCGCGGGAGCCGCGCGCCGCGCGCCGCTCAGCTGACGCGCAGAGCCGCCGCCCGCCGCCGCCCCGCCCCCGCCACGGCCACCGCCGCCGCGCCGATCATCAGGCGAGGCGGGCGGAGGCGGCAAGCTCCGCATCCTGAGTTGAAGCTGCTCCATGGTGAAGAACCTGATGGGCGGAGAATCCCTGCCCACCTTCATGCACGGAATCCCGTTCTTAGTGAATACGGTCCACACTCGGCCTTTCTTCTTCAGCTCGAGAAGTTGGCTGAAGATCTCCCGCTTCTTCTTAGTTAGGGACTCACTGACGAACAGCCGACCCCTCTGCGCTCCGTCCCGCTTTCTCAGATCGAGTCGCGCTGCATAAATAGCGTTCCTCAGCGCCTTGTTCGCGAACGCGCAGATCACCGTGTTTTCTTTCGGCATACGGTGAATGGACGTGAAATCACTTCTGGACACAGGATTGTTCGGGAAGTTCTCATTAATTATCTGCACTGTCACTTTCTCAATGTCCTCACCATCCTTCCGAGCACCGAACTGCTCACTCCACAGAACGAGGTTAGGAGAGCGGCTGTGGCGCTCCATTTCCTCAACTTGCTCCTCCAGTTCTTTTATTCTTACATCCTGCTCTGAGCACTTTTTGGTCAGCTCATCCACGTGCTGTTCACGCTCGAATAACTGGCTCTCCAGCTTCTCTATCTTGTTCTCGACGGAGGCAAACTTCCTGTCGAGTTTATCAACCAGTCCGTCAATCGCCTCCTTGATTGACATCTCAATCTGCCTTTTAACTTCAACCAGAAAATCTGCTCTCTGGCTCTCGCTCACCTTTTCCGCCTGTTTCGGTGACACCAGCCTCTTCCTCTTTTCCTGAGCTGTTCTGAACATTTCCTCCACGGAACGCTGCCTTTTCCGCTCACTGAGTCCTCTGCCGAGCTCCTCCTCGGCGTCACTGAAGGCCGATTCCGAGGCCGACATTCCGTCACACTCCTCACTGTCCTCAGATCACAAAACTCTCAGTATCACAATATAATCGGCTGGTATCACCCGCTCACAATCAGGCCCGGGCCGCCGCCCCAATAGCACAGGCCTAGCCGCGCCGCATACCACAGCTGAGCCGAGCCGAACGGGCGGGCAGGTCAGCGCCGGCGGGCACACCCGTACCGGCCGGTGTCAGGGCCGAGACTGAGACGCGACACTTAGGCGGCGTTCGATGTCTCCCGGACGGCAAAGATTCTTTGCCGTCCGGCCAATAACGTCCAAGGTCAGCGGGGGCTCGGCTGCGGTTATGAAACGTGATTGGCCGGACGGCGTAGAATCTTCGCCGTCCGAGAGACATCGAACGCGGGGTTAGAGTAGCCATTTTACTGTAAAGAGTTTAACCCTCGCCCGTATTGGTGTTTTTCTAGCCGCGAACGTATAAGGGGGGGGGGGTCCGTTGGACCCCCCCCCTGCCGTTTCGCCCCTGATCGAGCTAGAGTTTCGGGAAAAAAACGAGCGTGTTTCCCGTGACGAGAGGAAGCCGATGATACCCAATTTTAAGGTCCTATAGTAGGTCAACGGTTGACCTTCGAGATCAGATCAATGACCCAAAAGTCGGGAAAATCGGGACCTGTTAGAAAGTCGTAAAGCGTGGCTGCTATGGGGTTTTCGGGGTGCTGATCGCGAATATCATGTTAGTTTTGATCACAGATGATGTCTTCATGCATTTAGGCCAGGTCGGGTCAGGTCGGGTCAGGTCAGGTCAGGTCAACCAGTAAGGGTATTCGTAGTAGATGGCAACCGCCTCTGGCAGCTTCGTAACATGTTACGAAGGTACCAAAACTACTTCGTAAATGTTCGTATGGTTGCTAAATTCGGATTCAGCTCCAAAAACTGGGCTAGAAACATGTAAAACTCGAAAGGGTGAACTGATGTCCTCAAAGGTCAATGACCTGACCTGACCTTCCGTTGACCTTGACACCCACCCTAATGCATGGGGGAAACATCATATCCCATGTTTGAACGCTTAAAACCACGAAAAGACTGCAAACGCGCGGCTAATGCGAGCCGACATACGCCGAATCGTGATTCCGGCCAAACATGGTCTCAAAAAGTAGGTCACAGGTCAAAGGTCATTAGGGTTAGGGTCATGAAAATTTTAGGGTAGGTGTAAAATTGATTAACCCGCGCCCTGCTGGGTCCTGGATTTCCACGCCCTGCTGGGGGGGGGGGGGGTTTGAACACCCCCCCCCTTCTAACTCGGCTCCTGGGCCACGTAGCGATACGCGGAAGGCGGCGTTCGAAAGAGCGTCAAAAATATGAGGAAATCACTTCTGTCAATTTTTTGGTCAGGTCAAAGGTCAGGTCACCAGAGGTCATTGAAGGCAAAATTTCGCCGATTTCCAGGTCGAATGTCGAATATTTCCAAGAAGCCAACGCATAACTCGGCAACCAATAGAGCTACAGCGCCGCGGAAAAGCGCATTCGATAGCCTTATTAACGCCCTTTCTGAGAAATTCTCTCAGATTTGACCTAACGTCAACGGTTTTGCCTGCAGGGGGCAAAAACTACAAAAATAGCCGATTTTTTCGGAAACAGTTTTTCTGCAATAACTTTTGACCCAAGCCTTGTACGAGCTTACTTTTACCGGCATCGTGTTCCTCTCGTCAAGACGCATCGAATGAACTATAATTTGACCTTGAAAGGTCAACTTGAAAATTTGACCTCAGGTCAAAGTCATGACCTGACCGGAAAGGGTCATGTTGCATATCAGTCGATCCGTATCGTCGAGCTGAACACATCTAAGGCGTTTTCATCGCTCTAGCATGCCTCTATCAAAAGTTATTTGCGAAAAACTGTTAGATACCATTCGTGACCTAAGATGACCTCAGGGCATAAATAGGGGTCACGGACACCATTTTCATATTCAGTGTGTTTAAACCACTTGTAATTCAGTGTTTGGGAGTGTTTATAATGTCTTTCGTCCAAAAGAAGCGCATTTCAATTTTCTCCCATTGACTTATAATGGGGAGGTCGCAAAATTGACCTGACCTTAGGTCATCGATATCAAAATTCTGAGATATACATTTTGTACATGCTATTGCTCTTAGCAATCGCTGAAAGTTTCAAAGCGATCGGTCACTCGGTGTAGCTATGACAGACATTGAAACTTTTTATGAGGTGACGTCACTTCAAGTGACCTGGTGACCTGACCTTGAATGACCTTGGTCTGAAATTTTTACAACATGTGTAGAATTGATGTATGATAAGGTGTACCAAAAACGGCGGCGCTCCGCGCCGCCGTTTTTGAGATATTCGCGAAAAACCACAACGGGGTGTTTGAACACCCCCCCCCCCCCAGCAGGGCGCGGGTTAAGGTTTTTCGCGGAGTACACCTTATCATACATCAATTCTACACATGTTGTGAAAATTTCAGACCAAGGTCATTCAAGGTCAGGTCACCAGGTCACTTGAAGTGACCTCACCTCATAAAAAGTTTCAATGTCTGTCATAGCTACACAGAATGACCGATCGCTTTGAAACTTTCAGCGATTGCTAAGAGCAATAGCATGTACAAAATGTATATCTCAGAATTTTAATATCGATGACCTAAGGTCAGGTCAATTTTGCGACCTCCCCATTATAAGTCAATGGGAGAAAATTGAAATGCGCCTCTTTTGGACGAAAGACATTATAAACACTCCCAAACACCGAATTACAAGTGGTTTAGACACACTGAACATGAAAATGGTGTCCGTGACCCTTGTTTATGCCCTGAGGTCATCTTAGGTCACGAATGGTATCTATCAGTTTTTCGCAAATAACTTTTGATAGAGGCATGCTGGAGCGATGAAAACGCCTTAGATGTGTTCAGCTCGACGATACGGATCGACTGATATGCAACATGACCCTTTCTGGTCAGGTCATGACCTTGACCTGAGGTCAAATTTTCAAGTTGACCTTTCAAGGTCAAGTTATAGTCCATTCGATGCGTCTTGACGAGAGGAACACGATGCCGGTAAAAGTAAGCTGGTACAGGGCTTGGGTCAAAAGTTATTGCAGAAAAACTGTTTCCGAAAAAATCGGCTATTTTTGCAGTTTTTGCCCCCTGCAGGCAAAACCGTTGACGTTAGGTCAAATCTGAGAAAATTGCTCAGAAAGGGCGTTAATAGGGCTATCGAATGCACTTTTCCGCGGCACTGTAGCTCTATTGGTTCCCGAGTTATGCGTTGGCTTCTTGGAAATTTTCGACATTCGACCTGGAAATCGGCGAAATTTTGCCTTCAATGACCTCTGGTGACCTGACCTTTGACCTTACCAAAAAATTGACTGAAGTGATTTCGTCATTATTTTTGACGCTCTTTCGAACGCCGACTTCTGCGTATCGCTACGTGGCCCAGGAGCCGAGTTACAAGGGGGGGGGGGGGTGTTCAAACACCCCCCCCCCCAGCAGGGCGTGGAAATCCAGGACCCCCAGCCGGGCGCGGGTTAACGCGAGGGTACTGAAAGTGTCGTCGCGATCGGCCGCCTTTTACGCGAGTTATTCGCGAAAAACCAAGGGGGACCCCCCTCCCTATCCGGGCGAGGGTTAAACCGTCAACTATACAAATAATGCAGTACAAACATGTACGGTCAACCAGTAATCGCGCCAGGGTTTCCCCGCTACGTAGAATTCACCAAACATATCCCGCTAATCCAGCGTCGCCTGTGTGACGTCACCAGCCGTCGGTATTCTGCGTAGGAATTCTCGTAGTAGAAGCCGGCCCACGTTGTCATAACAAGTTTGACTGGTTGTAGCGCGGGAAACCCTGCAGCATGACGACTATATAACCGCGGCTGGCACAAGAGTGGTCATTCAGTCGAGACCTGAGCTAGTATTGCACAGTCCGCAACTCAAAGGTAAGCAGCATCACATCATATCAAATATTAATAGTACTTACAACGGAAATGTGGTTTAATTTAGTTGCATTGAGGTATTCTTAAATAAATCCGAATGTGTTGTCCAACAGAAGTATTATTTCGGGTTTTAAATGGGATAAATTAACATCGTAAAACATTATGTTGCAAATACTATAGGACAGGGTTGTGCTTGACTCATAAGTCGAGTCAGAGATTTGACTCAACTCTGACTCAGATGAGTCAGGTTTGAGTCGAGTCGGAGAAAATGTTGAGCTGTTGAGTTGAGTCAGAGTTGAGTCAGACAAAAATATTAAGGTGTTGAGTTGAGTCAGAGTTGAGTCAGTAAAATAATTTTTGACATTGAGTTGAGTCAAAAACATTTAGGAACATGAGTCAGCTGACTCATCTTTCTAGAAACAATATAAAGCTTTTCATTCCCCCCCCCCCCACGCTTAACAACTTAGGCCTGGCCCTGCTGCCAGATTTTTTCACCCCCCCGTCCCCCCCGCTCAACAACTTTTTTATCTGAGTCAATTTTGAGTCAACACACTTGACTCAACGCAAAATTTGAGTCAAGTTTGAGTCAACTCATATTTTCATTGAGCCGCTTGAGTCATGAGTCGAGTCAAGGGAAAAAATCAGCTCCTTGTTTGAGTCAGAGTTGAGTCAGGGCTTTCTGAAGTTGAATGATGAGTCGAGTCGGCAAATTTTTTTGAGTCGAGCACAACCCTGCTATAGGAACGATCAGCCGAAGGCGGCTTCCAACAAATGAGTTATGTACGTTAATTTCTTACGCGATCATCCCCCAGTTTCAGACCCCGCCATGAAGGTCGCCGTCGTTCTCGCCTGCCTGCTGGTGGCCGTCGCTGCCAAGCCCCAGTTTGGTAGGTTTGGACTCGGTGGATTTGGTGGTGCCAGGGGAAGCGCCAACTCTGGATCCACTCAGGGACAGACCAGTGGTCTCTTCGGAAACAGCCAGATTCAGAACAGCTTCGCTAACGCACAGGTGAGTGTAAGAAAGAAGAAAGTGCTTAAATGTGTTGCTGTTTTTCCCAAAATATAAACACATTTTATCACATTTGTCGTTTACTGAAAATGAGTCAATGAAAAGGTCTGTGGATTTGAATTGTTGCAGCAGATATCAACCTATATAAAACAATATGAATCAGCTCCTGAAGTTCAGGTTATTGACCAGGCACGTCGTCTTTCCAGGGCTCTGCTTTTGGACGTGGCGCTTCTTTCAACAGCGCTGGCAGCAACGTTGGACAGAGCACAGGACTCTTCGGAAACCAGCAATTCGCCAACAACCGGGCCACCAGCAACCAGTTTGGACGCTAATGCGATTCTTTTATAGATGAAAATTTTGCCATTGTGCGCTTCTGTACATTATGACTTGTACAAGGTAATCAAAACATAAGTGCAGAGAATTATTGTTACCACCGTGCATATTGTACAATATACATATCATATTGCTAATCGTGTGATTTCTAATGGGAGAGTATAAATTGAGGGTCAGAAATATGAACAGTTGATTGGTTATCATTCAATCTTAAAATGTTTCAAATGCTTTAAAAAAATAAACAAGTTCATATATACTCGAGATGCATGGGTAGGACTTGACAACGTGCCCTGGCTGATGTGTGGCTCTCGTACTGACGCAGATGACATCAGGACCAGGGCACTAAAAAGTCATCAGGACCATCGGCACCAGTCATAGTCCCAACAGGCACTGCACAGTTCGCAATTTGCAGCTGCCGGATGCGCTATCAGTTTACAAGAAGAGAGATCGGGGGATGGCCGTACTGTCATTGAAATGAGCCGACATCGTCATATTCATCCATATTCTTACCCGATGGCAGGCCTCGAAGTGTGTATCAGAAGAACTGCTTCAAATTCACCACGTACTAAGGCAATCATAAGTCTTCACTTCTGTATCATAGCTAGCAGTATCCTCGGACCACATACATACATATACTGAACGGGTGCGCAAGTGCTCCCCGCTATGTCTTGAAAGTAACGGAATGGGTGTTCCTGAGCACACCCGAAGACTGAGTACATACGTTTGTGGTTCTTGGAGCTTCGTTAGCACCGAATCAAGGGATGTTTTGATACAAGTCGAAGGCCAATAGCGGAAAGCAAAATTGTTGCGATAACGGGCCCATGACAAAAATTATTTGTTGATTGTAATTAGGCGACACATTTTAAGTGGCACGTCTGCACTATGATTTTCAATAATTCATATTTTCTCAAGCAAATCTGTACCTCCACCTGCATGGTCCAATATCGCTAGTCGCCCATCTGGCTGTATGAATCAATCATGTATGAAGCAAAATTGTCCGAAAATATATTCCCTTTAGCAAAAATTGCAAAATAAGGATCCAAGATTCCTGCGTGACGAGGTGCGGAATTTCGGAATCGTGGAACTATGCGTGGGCTTGAGAGGGTTAACACAGTTAAGACTTAAAGGTAGTGTGCCACCTTTGAAAGATTTCCCATTTTATTTTTCCTAGGATAAGAAGCTTCTGTTTTTACCTAATATCGCAAAAATGGGCCTAAAATAGTGCTTTTTTCGCCTAAAAGTTTATCGGTTTTTCGATATGTATAACAGCTGTAGTGGGCTGACCTGCAAACAGGCGTCGGCAACAATCGCGAATGCGGCGCACATGTGACAATAAGCAAAGGTCATTATAGAGTTACGACGTACGGGAATGAGTTATCAGCTGTCTAATCGTAGACAACACAATGTCGAGCATTAAACTGTAAGCCTGTATTGGTATTGTTTCTTTTATTTGGCTGTCGAACATTATTTATGGTTTGAAATATGATTTTATGTAAAATAATTGATAGGAATAAGCCGTCTCTTAAGTTATGACCCCATTTCACCACACGCAAGTGGCAGAAATGACAATGATCAGCTGACGCATTTTTCTTGGCCGAAGTCAGAGCGCGCGGCCCGACGCACCACCACCGCACCACAAAGTATGTATGAGCAGAAGCCGCGCCCAAAGCCAGGGCCCCGGTAACGTGAGGTAGCCGAGTCGGGGCAGCGTGCGCTGACCCAAGCCGGGGCCGCAGCTTTGGGCGCGGTCTACCGCATCCCCGCGGGCAGCCCCGGGCTATCACATGACACCGGGAGGACGCGCGGCCCCGGCTTGGGTCAGCGCACGCTGCCCCGACTCGGCTACTTCACGTTACCGGGGCCCTGGCTTTGGGCGCGGTCTACCGCACCACCTAACAGGCGTGTTCGAAACCGCAGGAGATGATGATGAACGGGTTTATCGAAACTTGATTGGATGAGCATATCGGTAATAGCGATTTCAGTGTGTGCATTTATTGTTCATAGTGGTGTGAAATGTGGTTGGGGTACGACTGACAACCCGTCGGGGCGAATTTCGCACTGGGGTACTCAAAATTTGAAGAATTTAAGAGGTTTCCATGAGTTTTGAAGGTATGGATAAGTTCTAAAAATCCGGTTCTCCTTATCTGGGCCATTAACTCCATACGGTCCAGGAAAGCTGGCACACTACCTTTAACACATCATGAACCGTAGGTCGACGTGACTGTAAGCAGTCTGCCACCCTGCTCATCCCCGCACTGTACATACACCAAAAGTAGCGGACACTTTCGACGCCTACCTATATTTCCCCGTCACCCATAGAGCCTAGCGCCATGGCTGGCCGGCGACTTCCAGCTCAGAACTGTCGGCGTTTCATGGGTTCAGCGGTTCAGGGGTCCACCAGACACACGGTCGGGTCAGACACCCTCGGAGAGCGCGCCGCGGAGTACTCTAAAATCGGTCCCTGTTTCACAGCAAGCCGCGACTTGCCAGACTTGCAGGTACCTACTAGGTGTTGGGGTTTAGCTTTCATCGAAACGAAGGGAGAATCAGTCATTTTGTTTGTTACCATGGAAAACGGTTCGAACGATCAAGACAGCGGCGGCCTGATAGGCTCCGTGCACCGCAGCGGACGTCCACCCATCCTCTATAACGGCCGTTCCTGACGGACGACGAATCGGGGTGGGCGGAGCCTAGCACCGGAGCGAGGCTCCGCCCATCAGGACCCGTCGGCCCTTAGGAACGCCATTTTAAACACCCTCAAACACAGAAGTACAAGTATAAATGACACACTGAACCGAAAAATGGCACCCGCCACCCCTCCTCATGTCCCTGGGGGAACTTAGGTTACGAGAGGTATGCAACAGTTTTTCGCTAATAACTTTTGATAGAGGCACGCTAGAGCGATGAAAAGGCCTAAGCTGTGTTCGGCTCGACGATGCAGCTCGATTGATATGCAACATGACCTTTTACGGTCAGGTCATGACCTTGAACTTAGGTCAAATTTATTGATTGACCTTTTGAGGTCAAATTATAGGAAATTCGACGCGTTTTGAGGAGAGAAAAATTATGACGGTAAAAGTAAGCACGTGCGGTGTTTGAGTCAAAAGTTTTTGCAGAAAGCTGTTTCCGTAAAAATTGCCTACTTCGGCAGCTCATGTTCTAGCAAAATTGTTGACGGTAGGTCAAATCAGAGAAAATCGTTCTGAACAAGTGCAAAAAGGGCTATCAAATACACTTATCGAGGGCGCTGTAGTTCCATAAGGATCCCAGATGCGCTGCTTTGTTGTAAATTGTCAACGTTTGCCCTGCATATTGGCGAGATTTGGCCTCCGATGACCTCTGGTGACTTGTCCTTTGACCTGACAAAGAAATGACCTAAGTAATTTGGTCACAACTTTTCGTCATGTCGCTGCGTAGCCCAGTGGCCGGCTTAGAAGGGGGTTCAAACACCCTCTCCCTTTTCTCAGAAGGGCGTGCCAGCCTAGAAACCTCAGCGGGGCGCGAGCTAATTGAGCTAGAGCCTCGCAGAAAAATCGCTTTGTTTTCGTCCCAAACGACACATGCTTCATCTGACCTCACCCAGTATTACTAGAACCTTGACGTAGGCTTCCTGTTGGATGTTATTAGTCTACACATAGGTACTTGAGATTCTGGATCCGGGATCGTAAAAGAGACGCGGTATTTTGTGCGCACCTCAGTCTTTGATATCGAAGCTGATCCACTCCGTTCCGAGACTTTCGTAGTTGACACAAGTGACGATCTTTCCGTTTTGTATTAAACAGATCTCAACACATTGTAAACCACGAGGATGTTTCCAATGAACAAACACTTGCATAAGCTGCATACAAGGACTCATGCAGTTATGACAGTATCACATATTTTTCCTGCGCCGAACGGGTTACCGTCCGAACTGATTGCTGGTGGCCTGGTTGTTGGCGAACTGCTGATTTCCGAAGAGTCCCGTGCTCTGTCCGACGTTGCTGGTAGCTCTGTTCAGGGAGGCGCCACCTCCAAAAGCGGAACCCTGGAAAAAAAGATACGTCATTAGTTGAATGTCATAAGTCGTTTAACTTGTTTCGCACCCAGCTAAATGGATGACCTGTTACAATTAAATATATTTATACATGTAATTTTTATTGTAATGGATGGTGTTTTGCCATGATTATTGCAAATGAAATAATAGAGAAATTGATCATTAACATGGCAGAAAAGGCACATTTAGGCAATTAGAAAGGCTGAAATACAGAATAAGCTTTCGCCACTAAGGCACCGTCAAATCCTAAGCATTTGAAGCTGATGATTACTTCGCGGCGAAAGCTTATTACGGAGCGAGCGAAGCGAGCGTAGTCTTTCCTTAGAATAGTCCTAGAAAATAGAGATAGAAAATAGAATAGAGAATAGTCCTTCGGAAATTTCTGAGTATGAGCGGCCGGCCGGCCGGCCGGCCGTGGTCACGATTCTGCGACGCTTATATCTCAGCAACCACTTGACCGATTTACACGCGGTAATTTTTGTAGGGTAGCTTCATTCCTTCTACCAAGTATTGGACTATTCCCGATGCATGTGGGTGACCCCTTATGCACGTGCCACGTGCAAAACGAAGAGGTGTCACTTTTGTAATTGTTGCAATATCTCGGTAACTACTCGGCCGATTGCGCTGAAAGTTGGCATGTAGGTAGGTACCCATTAGGCAATGCATATACATGTGCCAGAATTGGGGTGCTGCTGCACGTGCGCACGTGCAGGAGTCGATTCCAGATCTCGAGAACGGCTGGACCGATGGCGCTCAAATTTGGCACGTGGTTAGGGACCGACCCTACTAACCTTAGTAGGGTGCCGTGCAAAAGTCAGTTGGGACCCATTTTGCACGTGCGCACGTGCAGGGTGCCGCTTCCAGATCTCGGGAACGGCTGGGCCGATTGTGCTCAAATTTGGCACATCGCTAGAGACCGGTTAGTAGGGTGCCGTGCACAGTTCAGCTGGAGGTACCCCGTCGAAATTTTGCACGTGCAAGGCTCACCCTCTCGCTCGCTCCGTTAGTCGCCCCAAAAGGCCCCAACTGGTTCTATATTTCGGTCTTTCTAATTGCTAAAATGAACATTGGTGTAGCATGGTAATGGTTAACTTCTTTACCACTATATTGATAATCAGAATCAACTAATAATCTATCGTTTCTCAAAACGTATCGAAACGTTTTAAGAGTCAAGTGAAATGACGATTTCGTGTTGCTGCTGTCAAACTGCATCAAAGCGATATATTGGAGTAGGTACTCACCCCGGCGCTCGCGAAGCTGTTCTGAATCTGACTGTTTCCAAAGGGTCCACTGGACTGTCCCTGAGTGGATCCGGAGTTGGCGCTTCCCCTGGCACCACCAAATCCACCGAGTCCAAATCTACCAAACTGGGGCTTGGCAGCGACGGCCACCAGCAGGCAGGCGAGGACGACGGCGACCTTCATGTTGAAGTGTGTTTTCTGGAAAATAGGGGCAATTGGTTTTCATATAGCTGAGTTCTAAACGAAGCAAAAACCTGAAACTCATAGAATGCGTGAGTGACTATGAACTTCACCGGTCCATGAAATATCTGTCGACGATATTGGTAGATGAAAAAAAAAATCAATAAAAGAATAAATTCAAGTAAAAAAGGAAAGCAGTAAGCAGATCAACGGAAAAAATGACAGACGTGAATAAAATCAGTTGTGCTTACTGTATTAGAATGGTTGCAAAAGAATGTATAACTTTTCATGGTAAAGTACATCTTTCAAGTGCACGTATAAGATCTACGGTATACAATAGTGCATTTACAGCACACGACTGTGTTATGCTGTTCGCATTACCTACCGTTATGCTTGTCGCGCCTTAGCACCAGTTCAGACGTCGGCTGAATGATGACTGTCACTGCGCTTGACTGTTTTTATAGGGGTGGGGCCTGCAGACGGGCTTCTCGACCAAGCGTCAAACAGGTTTGGTCTCTCCCAGAAGCGTGCCGCGCAAGCACTACGGGAAGTGCTCGCAATCTCAGAACTGGGTATCCACGCGTGCTATAGGAAACATTGGCCTCGCGAGGCTGGCAGCTGATGTCATTTCCTCGAAGCCTGGGGCCAGTTTAGGAAACTGGGTGTTTTCTCCGAATGTATGTGGTGGCTGGTGACATTTTCCCGTGTTCGACTATGATGAGGATAGGTGTCGGTCTGAGGTGTGACAATTATTTCTCTACTGAACCGTCACTGACAAAAATTCGGTGACTGGGCAGGGATCAGTGACGAATTCCAGGGACTCAAATATTAGGAACGTCCAGTGATCTAAATTAGACCTGGAGCCGGATCCTTCGAGTCGGGTTTGACTAAGGGCGTACTATCGAACCAGTGAAATTATGCTAGTCTTTGATTTGAAGTTGATAAAGTTGATGTGATATGCTTCTATTAAACACAGCGGCGTATATTATGTGAAGAAACAGTTTGACGTTTTCAATTTTTTCGAAGAAGTCATAACTTTTTTCGAATTTCTTTGTTCGAAATTTATGTGATTTGAAGTTTTAGAAATTTCGAAATACCCATTTTGTTTGCCATGCGTTTTTATATCGACGGTTCAATAATGAAGCCTCTAGGTTGTAAGTCTGATTTTCTGCGATTTTTCTCCGTGAACAACTTTTTCGACGAAAAATCGCCGAACATGATCTCATTTTGACCTTTATAGCTTGTGACATCAGATGAACTGGGACCTAATTGTTTCAGAAATCGTGTATAATTTTTGCTCAGAGATGTACGGAAAGTTTCAAGGCAAAGTTCGCAGCTGTTTCTGAGTTATCTACAAAAAAAACGCAGGGGGCCCCTTTGGCCCCTCCCCCCGCCCCAACGGGTCGCGGGTTAATAATTGGAGCACATGAATGGTAAAAAGCATATGCATAAGGGAATGTATCACTCCACTACTACAATATACCCTAGCTCATCCATTTTGCTCATATTTTCCGGTACATAACAATGGTCAGTCATCATTGAAGCACATGCTTAGCATCCCGCAACAGGAAAATAATACGTTTGATAACGGCCTTAACCGTAGATTCGTGACCAACCGTGACAGAGCTCATTTGCGCATCATGACATGGAAAGCCCGCTGAACACAGCTTCTCACCATCTGCTATTCATCGTCATTGGAAAATATGGGTGCATGTTTGATGTTATTGTGAACACCTCTGACCTGGCAATCCCTAATAAAATTACAAATGTATTTGCGCTCGTCGTGACCTCGCGGCTCGTCCCACCAAAAATCCACGATTTCACACCATCGGACTGATAAACAAATGCGGCCGTGTCCAATGAACCGCACGTGTTTACTGTGACGACCTGGTTGACGTATCACAAACACATGCCGCGGTGCAACTGAAGGCATGGGGTGCTGTCTTCACGTGATCCTGAACAGACTATAAGTGTGAAAACTGGAGGGCTATTAGATTGAAGTTATCAACTGTATGACACCTAAAAAGTGTATCTTTTTATTTTATTTTGCACGCACATAATACTAGGAACCGAAGGAACCGAAGGATGCTTACAGTCAGACTAAACATGGAGGTATGGCCCATGCTTTAGTAGGCTTTAATCTTAACACTGTTTTCGAAATATAACAATAATCCAATAGAGGAGGAAATGGAAGCGGTTTCAGAAAAGTTTAAGCAAGTTACCCCGCGCTCAGCTGGGAGTACTGGATTTCCGCGCCCTGCTGGAAAGGTGTGATTGAACAATCTTCCCCCTTCTAACTCGGCTCCTGGTCCACGTAGCGCCATGCCGTAGGCGCCGTTCGAAAGAGCGTAACAATAATGACGACCTTACTCCAAGTCTTTTTTATGGTCAGGTCAGTCACCAGAAGTCACTGAAGCTAAAATTTAGCCACTGTCCACTGTCCAGGTCAAACATCGCTAATTTTCGACCAACCGGCGCATAGCTGGTTAACTAATCAAGACTGGCACGCTATAACTAATCAAGACGTTCACTCTGCAGCAATAGATTTGACCGAAGCCATCTTAAGTGCCGCGGAGGAGGCAATTCCAAAAAAAGTCATCCGTATAAAAAGCACAGACAATCCATGGGTAAATAACGAACTAAAAAGAAACATAAGAAAAAGGGATACACTCTTTAAGTGCGCAAAACGTAACCAGTCCCAAATTGATTGGCACAAATGGAAGTTGCAAAGGAACTTCGTAACTAAACTTAACAAACGCCTTCACTCTGAACACATCCTGTCCCAAGTTAGCAAATTAACAAGCAACAAACAAAATCCCCACAAGTACTTCCAAATTCTAGGCACCCTTATCGGTCGGAAAAACGTCCAGCCCATTCCCCCTCTAGTCAACAAAGACGGTGAGACGGTGATACATGACAAAGACAAAGCTCAGCTACTTAACGACCACTTTGCTTCCCAAACGAGACTAGTCACTTCCACAAGACAAACACTCCCAAACGAAGTCCGGCCTGTACCCACACTAGACAGCATTCAAGTGTCTGAACAGGAAGTGATCCGCATCCTTAACTCCCTCGATCCCAACAAGTCGACTGGACCGGATAAAATTCCAACAAAAATACTTAAGCTTGCCACCGTTCTAATTTCTGAGCCGTTAACAAAACTTTAATAAGTCTCTCAGGGACGGTATTTTCCCAAACTCTTGGAAAACAGCAATAATCAAGCCAATATTTAAGAATAAAGGGTCACCATCCATTCCATCAAATTATCGTCCAATATCTCTCTTGAACACCATGTCAAAAATTCTTGAAAAAATTGTCTTTAACGGTATCTACAAGCATATTAGCGAACATCACCTTTTCACAGACAAACAAAGCGGGTACAGACCGGGCCACAGTACTCAACTCCAGCTCGTTTATCTGACGCACAACTTATACCAAACACTTGACGCAGGCGACGACTTCACAGCAATCTACTTAGACATTTCCAAATACTTCGACAAAATTTGGCACAAAGGACTTCTTCACAAGTGTAAAACAGACTTTGGACTGACAGGGACTCTCTTGACATGG